TTTATGTTATTAAATCATAGTTACGGAAAAAAAAAACAAATGAAAATGTCGCCTTTCAACAGAGCATACCAACTTCCATTAAGATGCTATTCATAAAAAAAAATATGGAAGAAATAAGGTATTTTTCTAAACATATTTTTTTTATAATTTACTCAACTATGTTTCTCTTGGTCTAACCTTGAAAGTGATCACTGTATATTTCCAGCTCTATCTCACAATCTCAAGAAGCAGCAAGACTTGAAGCTGCTAATATTCACTTGATTGTTTTCCAAAACTTTTCAAAATAATAAGAACGCAATAAGATGATGCTAGTAGCAAGAGTGTTGAACGTTGCAAAGTATGCAGGGCGATTCATTAACAATGGGAAAGTCGAAAGCTGAAGATACTACACGTGAAATGGTGGCCATTGGCGCAAACATGCCTTATCCGAAAGTTGATAGTTTCGGAAATACAGGGTGTTGAAAGTTAAAATTTTAAATCGTTTTTTTGCGATTATTCTGAAAATATGTAGGTTAGGAACTTGAAAATTTGTGAAACTATATTTTTTTAGGCGACGAATAAGATGCGTGTTGTAATTTCAGCATTGCTCATAGAGGGCGCCACTTACGACCAATTTTACCGAAAATTTAGTTAATAACTTTTTACCCTGTATATTTAACATGAAACTTGATTCAAAACCTGAAAGAGCTATCATTTTTCCATTAATTATGTACTCTTGTTTCATTTCGGTATCTCGATCCGTTTTCGAGAAAAATCGATTTAACGAACACTATGTTTTGATAATATGAGAAATTAAAAGCGAAACAAACCAAGTGTTTCTTCGTGTTATTACAACAATTAACAATAAAACAAATAAAATACGTAATTATGATTTAAAGTAATTGTTCGAAGAATCCACCGTTGAAACTGATACACTTTACACGTTTTCTGAGAGATCTTCAATTTTGAAACAACATATTGGGATTGCGTCTGACTTCGTTGGCAGCGATTTGTATTGTTTGCCATAACTCTTCACGTGAACCAATATATTCTTTGTAAACTAGATCTTTCATTCGAGACCAAATAGAAAAATCAAGAGGACTGAAGTCCGGACTTCTGGATGGCCAATCAAAAATGCTTATATGGCCAATCCAGCGATGGAAAAACGCACTGGCCAAGAAAAATGCGGTGCAGCTCCGTCGTGCATGAACCACATGTCTCTTCTTAAATAAAGTGGAACTTCTTCAAACCGTGGAAGCATTTTTACTTGGCACCCAGAAGTCCGGACTTCAATCCTCTTCATTTTTCTATTTGGAAGAATCTATTGGTTCGTGTGAAGAGTTGTGGCAAAGAATACAAATCGCTGCCAACGAAGTCAAACGCAATCCCAATATGTTGTTTCAAACTCGAAGATCTCTCAGAAAACGTTGTGTAAAGTGTGTAAATGTCAACGGTGGATTCTTCGAACACTGACTTTAAATCATTATTACGAATTTCATTTGTTTTATTGTTAATTGTTGTAATAACACGAAGAAACACTTGGTTTGTTTCGCTTTTAATTTCTCGTATTATCAAAACATAGTGTTCGTTAAATCGATTTTTCTCGAAAACGGATCGAGATACCGAAATGAAACAAGAATACACAATTAATGGAAAAATGATTGCTCTTTCAGGTTTTGAATCAAGTTTCATGTTAGACATACAGGGTAAAAAGTTATTAACTAAATTTTCGGTAAAATTGGTCGTAAGTGGCGCCCTCTATGAGCAATGCTGAAATTACAACACGCATCTTATTCGTCGCCTAAAAAAATATAGTTTCACAAATTTTCAAGTTCCTAACCTACATATTTTCAGAATAATCGCAAAAAAACGATTTAAAATTTTAACTTTCAACACCCTGTATTTCCGAAACTATCAACTTTCGGATAAGGCATGTTTGCGCCAATGTTCACCATTTCACGGGTAGTATCTTCAGCTTTCGACTTTCCCATTGTTAATGAATCATCCTGTATGTACGTATAAATTTTAATCAATAAGAAAAAAAAAACAGGAAGAAAACTTTCTTTACTATTAATCGTTACCGATATTATTAAAGATGAAAAGGTCAAGAACCTTAGTGGCCGCATGCAATAAGTATTTATTTCCGTCCAAATTTATGCTGACGCGAAACCAGTAGCAGCAGCCTGGTTTATTTTTATGAGACTTGTGAACCACGGAAATATCCCGTCATTAGTAAATCTCTGCTTTACCAGTGACCAAAAAAAAATATTTATGGAATTCAATGTAGACATTAACACCAACGTAAAAGTGTTCAGTTCTCTCCACCTAAAATTTAAATACAGACGTGAAAATTGATAAATATCAAAAGTACGCAACTTCTATTTAAATCAAAAGTTTTACAAATGATCGTCAGAATAGTCTTTCTTGATGATTAAATTTTATTACGAAATATTAATGAACAATGAAAAGATACCATATGTACTCGTATATGTATTTAAATCAAATTAATATAGCTCATCTGGTTAGTAGGTTAACAAGCTAGTGGGTGTAAGCCATTAAACAATGACTTTATTGTTTACTGCTGATAATTTGGCACCTCAAACAAAACAAGCTTCGACACGCGAAAACATAAATAATTCATATTTTATGAAATCTATTTTAGGTTCAAGGTCGTTGCTTAAACAAATTTAATTTTAAACAATTGAAGACACGAGTTTTATTTTTATAACTTGATCTCGGTAAAGCAATTCATTTGTATTCTAGTCAATTGCGCAAAGGAAACATTACACATGCTTACCAGTTCCTATGACGGCGGCTGTGGTATGATATAATGAGACGAGAATTTAATTGAAATCTTTCCGTAATTTAAAATTATCATCTACAAAGATCTTTGACCCTGAAATCTGATTTAAAGAAAAACACATTGCCAACGTCTCAGACATCGAATAAAACGCATTTTCAGAGGTTGCTTGTACGGGGCTGCGTGAACCTGGTACTCGAGTTTTAAAACAGTCCACCGAATTTGACAGGACTCAAATCTGGCGGCTGATTTCAATAGAAAATCGTTAGCAGTTGATAAACGAATATAGTAGCATGAAAAGAAAATTCTCCACATTCCCAGTTGTAGGTACAAAATCACTTGCAGTCATTTATAACAATGCCTATTTCTTTCGTAGTTCTTCGAAATCTATCGTAGTCATTATTGTCCAAGCTTTGGCTCTAAAATCGTTTATAGTTCTTTGTAACAGCGTTTATTTCGTTTGTAATTTCTTGAAATTTGACGCACAGTTACTATAATCCAAGACAGGTGTCTAAAATCGATTGTATCAAGTTCGTAATTAATCTAAATGTATACGCCCAGTTGAAGTATACGCGCGCAGGTAAACGGCGCACAACCACAGCCGCACTTGGCGATCGGACACAAATTTCAGTTGTTGACAAATTACCTATCAGTGCAGTGCAGCAATGCCAAGCAGTAATATATTTGAATGAAAATGTAAATGTTTTTGATATGTCATAACTAAAATTTACCAACAATACATATAATAAAATTGTTTGAGGACATAAATAATTAAAATGTGTTGTTTATCAAATGAACATATAACAGAAATTTTCTACACATTATATACAAATTATTATTTTTTACCTTTAGCAGAAAACTTTTTTAGGAACGCTTATGAGGCTCATTAAATTTTATTGCTAGGCGTTTTTATACATGTTCAACTGACTTCGGAAAGACTATAACATTCTTTACGTTTATATGCGTAGTTATTTTAAATTTAACATCTCATCAATACAATCAGAATCTAAAATATTGTTCCTTGAAATTTGACGTAGGTATAGTCAATATAATCCAAGACAGGTATCTAAAATCGTCTAGATCAAGGTCAAATGAAGGTCAAACACATTAACTCGAATGATACAATTTTTTGGCCTTGGATTCTGAAAAAAGCTGGAAAATCTTACGTCCGAATACGCCTCGACCGGTTTGTCGAACCGTTTGTTTGATCGGCATAAATCTACTTCAATTGTTTTGGTAAAAAAATTGTACCATTGACCTTCCGACTCGGATCGCTATAAAAACAAAAAAAATTTTTCATCAAATGCTTGTCCACATCCTGAATGAAATAAATTTCGAAAATAAAAAACCATACAAACTTATTTACTAACAATATTTAGATCAATTTGCGGTAAGACGGATAGGATTGGACCATACAAATTGAACGCAGTTTCACCACGCCAAATTTTACGTTCGTCTCTTTAAAAAAAGCAGTTACAAGCATGGCCTACTTTTCCTTTATAGGCTGCATTAATTAGTAAGTTAATCTAACCACAGTAAAATAAGCATTTATTTCAGAGTTTAATTCGTATAATCTCTTCCGGCATAGAGTTCAGTCGCTGGAAATGTACACCTACCAATTTTGTGCAAGACATACGTTATAGCCTTTGATAATGAAACAAAAATGTAATTTATCAGCACCGGACACGCACGTAATCCAGAGGTGGGGCCCACCCAACTAAATGGGGAGACTTGAAAATGACCACTGTAATGAATAAATATAGGCTTTTTAGGTTAATTCTGAACAAATTCAGGTTAAAAACCTTTCCGATAAAAAAAGAGTTTCCGATTTATTAAATCTATTTTGGTATATCACGCAGCCTTGCATTTGAGAAGATGAGTGAATACTAGCTCATAAAATCTAAGTAAAAAAATACAAGGATGTTATAGTCTTAAGTGAGATGCCCCTGTACGTATACAAAAGATTAAAGTAACATATGTGCGCAATTTTAATTATTGTTGTAGCACTGATTTATGTCAAATACCAAGTCTACCTAGACCTACAAAAGACATAGCTAACTACTATAACCTCGTCTACAACTAAAAAATAAATATTTTGTAATAATACAGCACTGGTCTATTAGAACAGTAGTTTCATGTTATACTAAATCCATGTAAAGTCGTATGAGTATTTAACGAACTCAAACGCTTTTTTTGTAAAAAGAAAGCATGAATTTCTTACCTGGTGCTGCCCATGTGGGATCTCTCCACACACCCTCGTGATTTAAGTGGTTCAAAGCCAACTTGCTCGACGCATCTTTTGATTCGAGGCCCCATAATTTTTTTGCTGCTGGAGCAATCTGCAACAAATTCAGAATTAAACTCAATGCTGATTTTTATTATAAAGGAACAATAAAGACGAGAAGGCTTCGTAGATATAAAATTATCACACAGTTTAATCATTTATAGTCAAATCTGTATTCGAAAATGAAAAACTTTACATTTAAAATACAATAGGGAAGCAACATAAAGAGGATATGGTAAAATGATTTTGGAAAGAGAATTCTTAGAATAAATCAGTAGATTCGTAACAATTTCATCACTTTATATTCCCATTTAGGAAAGTAAAACCTATAAATTGTGGAAATCTGATAGAATCCCGGACATTTATTTCTCAATATGTAGGGTGGAGGGTCGTGTTTAAATGAAGATTTCAATCGTTTGATTTTCCTACGCATTTTCCGGAAGTTCGTAAGGTTCTGGTCTAAATTGACTGCGCTTACAGTTAATCTAACTAACACTTACTGGAAGAGGAAAAACATGTGACATATGTTATTAATATCTACTTTTTTTTACTTAAAGGTAGATTCCCCGGGAGTCATAGTTATTTTTTTCCCTGAGAACAAAATAAGCAGAAAAAAACATTTGGGGCTAGGCAACTTTAATATAAAGAATGTTTAAAATGCATATTATCCACTTTTTATATCACTTGACATGATCTCCAATCCCAATCTCTCATTCTCATTATTAGCTTCAGAAGCATGTCGTCAAAGTTGAAAAGTGTTACCCAAGAACTATCTATCCTTGGGTACCCAATACTCAAGAAAAATTGTTTATTGGAATATCAAAAATTATTATGGTAATACAAATTAATTTAATATGCAGGTACTTAATACTCGGATACTTATACAGAATATAAATAAATACTAATAACAAAACATTTCAATTCAAAATTATTTATGACTGAACTTTCTATTATTTTTTTAAGTATATGAACATAAGGTACAATATGTCTTGTCTCTACATCACAGCTAAATAGTTATATGTAAATTTCGTAATTTAAGTTGAAAAGATCGAAAAAATCATTTTGTATAAAAATAAATTTGTTATACTACAAATATAATTATTTTTTTGCTTTTAACCTCACTTTTAAATATTAATTGAATATGTTGCAGATAAATGCCTAGAGCCTGATTAAATCTAAATGCAAGACTGATTTACTTGATGAAATATAAAAAAGACTTTTACCTCTGCCTCTTCCGCCCTTTTCCCCCTTCTACATAGCCCCTGAAATATACTGAAGAATATCAAAGAAATTTCACAAAAACATTTATCTGTCAGTCTAACATAAACCATATTGAAATGTTTCTAGTTTAAAAATAGTCAGTCCACCTCATTCCATTCGAGTGTCTATCCCGTATAGGTATCTTTTTCTTCCTTGTACCTCCATCTTGTTTCTCTAACTTTTATAAACAGGAATAAAAAAGGGTTTAAGTTTATACTTAATATTATTATTACAGTTCGTTTCTAATATTTTTTGTTATAGTTTGATGCGAGTCCCCTTCTCACTGATCGGAGTGCTGGTATAAAGTGAGTTCCCTGTGAAGTGCTGGTGGCTGGCAGGTTTACTTATAGCTAAATCTAGTAGATATTTTTCTAGACCTTTAAATAAATGATTTTACATAATATAGAATTTCTTTCATATTCAATTTTTTTCTTAATTGTCTTTTAAAGGTTATGCAGTTGAGTGAGAGGAGGATTAGAGGGGGAAAAGATTAAGAGTTTACTTTTATGATTATAAACAAGTTAGTGTTTTTACTTAAATTGTGCCCGAAAAATATTATTTATATGATTCTGTACATCAGATGTAAGAAAAATGGTTTTATTACATTTTTAAGCATTTTTTAATGTTCGGGTTAGGGGGTTGTATTCGTTTTGCCTAGAATCGATTTAATGTTGTTTCTGAAGGTCCAAAAAACATATTCCATATGATTAGGACAATTTCTAATAGGGTCGAAAAGCGGCCTTATTGACCCTCCTCCATTGAGACTATTTATAAAAAAGGAAAATAAGTAGTTGAAATGTTTAGGCCTACCAATTTAACTCTAAAATATTATACGGAAGTAATGCTAACATCTGTAAAGTATTTAATTATTGTATTATTATTAATATGTACCTATATAGTATATTGGCATCGAAAATATATGTAGCAGGCTAATTGCAAATTTTTATAAAATGCATTTGATAAGTGACTAGACACATTTTAAAATGTGTAAATACAATTTTTACACAATTTGATTTGAGGTGTTTTATAAAACGTCGAATAGCTGTCTTATTGTAAACTCATCTTAATTTTCATTTCCTTCAGAATATAACGACTTTTTCCAGTCGTTTTGTAAACGACTGAAAATAATGAATTACTTAAGCATTTCATGAAATATCAATGTATATTATTGCTAGTTCATACAATGTTACGTACAAATAAAAAGTATTACTAAATTCTACACGATATGGAATATGAAAAAATAAATGCCAATCCTTACATTGGATTTTTTAACAATAAGAGTGTTAAGTTCTAAACAAACCTACACCTTTAAACCCAAGTTTTGGAAGTGATAAAAGCAAAAAAATCTAATTTAACGTTTGTTTACATAATGTCATACCACGGTACAAACTCATAACATGAAACGGAAAACTAACCTACAAACTAGAAAATTAATAATCTGCGCCTGCCTTAACAATTCGCCTAACTCGAGAGCAGTCTCGTTAAAATACGCCTGGATATGTTCAGTTTATTCTAGGCGCAACGTTATTATAATGGCTTTTCCATTCATTTTACAATAAGACTTATTTTGTAAAACGCCTAAAATTTTCAATCAAACTGTAAAAAAAAATATATTTAGACATCATTTTACAATTTACCTAATTATTTATAGAACGCCTAGGTATATTTTATACAAAGGCTAAATTTGCAATTAGCCTACGACGTATACATTTTTTGACAAAAGTATGAATTTTTATTAAATAATTTCTTCGAGCCCAACAAATATTCTTCATTCCAAATAACTTTAACTTTAAACTAATATATTCTTCTACATTGGAGATTGTTTAACATCTTCGAATATATTAATTGTTTCTGAGAAAATTATATTTGTTAGATCATATCCAAAATCAGCAT